AATTCTCGAAGTATCGGCGGGAGTTGTTGGCGATGGATTATGAATATTGAGGCAGATGATGTTGCGGTAGGCAAAGGGCAACAGGTTCCAGTCGTGCCAAGGATATCTTCCCCTGAGTTATGATTTCTTTATAATGTTTTTATATTTTTATAAGTCAGGTTCTGGGTTTCATGAAGCCGCTTCAATCTCTACTTTACAAGGAATTCAACAGTCCATAGGAGTGAATGAGAACGATTAGGGAACTTTCTCACTTTCCTGATGATTATGGCAGAAATTAATTGGAGAGGCGAGAATTTAAATGAGTGCTTCTGCATAGATTAATGAAGAACTGGAAAATTTATCTAATGAGCATTGTAATAATGGTGTCGTCGCAATAGGTCATCCATTTCATTATCAATTTTGATTGTCTTTTGATTAATAAATCGTTTCTACCGATGACAGTTTAAGATAATTAACTGAACTAATCTTATATTTTTATGGAGTCTAGATAATTGGTAAATTTCTTGTCACTCTAGTGAAATTTCAAGTTCTTTCACTTTTCATTTGAAATTTCAAGTGGAATTTTCTCGGTGATAAAATAAACGGTCTCATTAATAATGAAGAAATTTTGATTTTCGTGTGCGCTAAATATTAATTAATTCAATCCCATAATAACGCCAACACGTGGCAGCCACTTGTCATGTTGATTGATAATCTTCACACCTCGTCATTCCCGAGGACACGCAGATCATTCGCAAATAGGTTTCAATGTCACTTCAATTCAAGTGACTGAAGAATGAAAAATAAACAAATTGCTCCTCTCGTTATATTTCCTCAGAGCAAATTTGTCCTGTCGCTTATAGCCTCAAGATCGACGCTGAATAAATATGCAGAGATTGATGGAGACGTCAACACCTAGGCCATTTTCTTTGAGTGACTCTTTCGAACGAGATCGATAATTGAATGCACTAGTGCAAGCGATATTTCATTATTTTTTTATTTCAGGTAACAGTCGAGAAAAGATAAGAGGGTCTCTAGGGCCAGTGGTCTATTCAAACGTGAATAAATTTGAATTTAAATAACGCTAATCCGTGACGAATTTCAATTACCGGTTATAAAAATAAACTCTCAATTCTGGAGAACTCCTAGCGAATTTTCTTTCATCCGCTAGAAGTGGAAATAACTGATTTTATTGACAATTTCGTAATGACCGACACTTCAGTCGCAACATTTAGGATAAAATAATGTCTAACCGATGGAATTCCATCTTTACCTGTTTTAATTCTTCACGGCTAGTGCCGTGAGCGAAAGTAATACCTCAGTACTGAGGAAAATTACATAAACATTATCCAGATATTATTCATGGAATATTGGGGAATAATTTATCATCGAAATTTTTCATTACATTCTTGGGTTGGTAATTATCATAAGACTTGAAAAATTCAATGATTGGACGATGGGTTATTTTATTTACTCATTTATTCGATTGATAGAAAAAATTGATATTTTTTTTTAGAAAAGCGAATGGCGTGTCGCAACTTTTGATTTCAAGACTTGTTTCATTATTGTGGATCTTTTTTGGAGACTCTCACTTTGAGGAAGTTCTCTCACTCCGGAAGTCTATTATGAGAATGATGTTCATGTTTCTGTATACGTAATGAATAGCTTGATGTTGAAGAGTTGAGAGTCATCGCGTGCTGGAAAAATCAGCTCCTCCAGACTTAACGTTTTTCTGGAGATCGTTGGGGGAATTGGTGAGGTAATTAAAATGTTACGTGTCGTTTCAGTTTTTTTTTGTGTTGACATGTTGATAAGTCATTACAGGGCATGTCTTTGATTAGTGTGTTCACAATTACACTCAAGTCGATTTGTAATTATCCTGGGAATTTGTCCGAATGATGGGTTGAGGTGGAATTTCTACGAGCACTTCCTTATTCCCAGGAGATTGGAATATTGTAATTGCGTGATTGATATAATTACAATTGCATGATTCGGAAGTACGGTAAATATTTATATATCTGCGCGATTGTATTACACCGTCCAAAAAAATTTGGGGAAAATACGAATAAATCATTTTAAATAACTAAAAGTTTTATTGAAAATTCCAGATAATTCTGAATAATAATGAAAATAAGTAATTTCAGTTAATTATCAGTAATTTCCATATTCTGAATAGCATAAAAGTGGGGATTTTCTATCTCATTAGATTCTCCAATCCATGAATATTCAATATCAAAATCCATTGAATTTCCGTGGAATAATTTAACGGCAATTTATAGATTCTATTAATTTTTTTATAGTATCTTGAATCTCCACTTATCAAAGTCCTTGGAATTTAAGTAAAGCCAGAATACATAAAAACATTCCAGAATTGTTACAGAAATTGCCGCTAAAGAAGTATAATATTGCATTGAAAACCCATATAAATAAATATAAATAAATATAAATAAATATGATAAATATACATAATAATAGATAAATGAGAGATTCCGTGGACATTTTCACTTGAAATTAATCATGACTGTGAAATTTCACGAAATTCTTATGTTCCTCAAGCGTTTACCTCAAGCCTCTGGAGTATTTTTGCCATTTTGCAAGGAAAACTGTCACTCCAAATCCACGACAACTTTGTCCCCCAAGAGAACATGTGCCCCACTGGGAACAACAACCGGATATATCGATCTTTCACTCGAGAAAAACGCGAGACATACCTCAAGGTTAGTTTTGTCTGCCAAGACGTGGCGAAGGTCCGACCACACGTACTCCACCCATTAGCCTTTTTTTTTTCTCTCAGCATTTTAATGGAACACGTCGTAATCAGCAATGTTCTCATTTTCAAGTAATTGACAAACACCTTTACACTCACTATTTTTGTCCCACCGCACTGTCTCCGTTAATGATCTATTCGTTTACTCAATGTACGATAGTGTTTGGATGACAGGAGTGAAGGTCACGCAATGACAGGTTTTGGAATTTGACACCTTTCCAACTGGAATTTCATGGCATTTTTCATGACAGAATTATTTACAAACAACCCACAGGCCTCGTTGCACCAGTTTCAGTTAATTACGGAGTTATTGCCGATATCTTCTCGTTTTCCAGATTTTTTTTATAAATTTCTGAGAAGTCGGTGAGAGAGTTGGCGCGAAAAATATGCCGTTTCAATTTTTTACTTTTTTTTACTACTATTTGTGGAGGAATTTTTTGGTTTGTTCAGTAAAATTTTCCAAAAATTCACGAAACCACAGGAGATTGAGAAAAAATAATGATTAATAGGTCTCACCTCTTGATTGATCTAGTGGTAATTGGACATACGGTAGCTAACCCAACATATCGGATCGCAAAATATTATTCATACTAGTCTAGTATTTCAGGGAAATTACACTCAATTTAGTAGACAGGTGTTACTCGTTGAAGAAGAGATTTGAAAAATTGGCTGAATATTTTTCCCACGATTTCGCGAGAAATATTCTTGTTTTCATTGACATGTAGCAAGTACCTCCGCTTCTGCACACGTCTCACCCGCGTGTTTTTCTCTGCCTCACGCATCTCATATCGTCAGGGTCAAACGGGCATTCACGGGGATTACAATCCCATGTGTGATATGCGTTGGTCTGGGTGTTGTATTGAAAAAATTTGTCACCTTGACGGATTTTTCTGGTCGATCCACGGCAAACAGACGCGGTTCAAGGATCAGGCCGGAAGGCAGCGGTTTATTAAAGTGCGAGCTGGCGATCCCTCAAGTATTTTCCTACCACTAAAAGTACTTGAATCGA